TCCACCCTGCTGGGCTCGACCTCGAAAAGAAAAAACACTGCCATTTCTTGGGTACAACTGCCAAGGCACACTGCAGAGGCAGGGTGTAGTTGGTCACAACTCGGATCAGGCAGCGTGCCCAAAAATGAATCGAGAGCCCTGTTGGGCAGTCGTGCATCTGCCTTGCCCAACCTGATGGGCCTCCACCAATCAACGGAACTCAACATAGTTGCGACTGGTTTGAGTGGTAACTCGGTTTCGAGCGTATTACTCTTGGTTGGATGGAAGAAATATGAGACGCGGGTTTTAACTTGTTTCATCACACTAGCTTGACAAAGTCACTGAATCAGCAAACGTGCTGGAACTGATTGTCCGTGCGGCATTGTCCGTTCAGTTTTTCATTGCCAGGCATGGACGACGATGGCAGCCGCGCCAAGCGATTAAAGACAGACGACGGCGGTTCTCGTGCCGCCGGTTCCGAAGCGGCGGAAGCCGCTGCCGTGGGGGCTGGTGAGGCCGCCGCCGCAGGGAAGGCGGGCGGTGCGGAGCTGGGCGGCAGTGATATCGCGGGCAGCGTCGACGGAGGGGCGATACCGACAAAATCGACGGACGGCGATGGCGGTGGAAAGGCGAACGGCGAGGGGCGTCAAAGCGAAAGCGAGCAGGCGGATCATGGCAGAGGAGGGGCGAGCGAGGGGGCTGCGGCGGAGGCGGCGGGCAGCGGGAGGACGAGGGAGGCGCGCGGCGACGGCGAGCTGGTGACGCGGGTGGCGGCGGGGCAGGCGGAGGACCGCGGCAGCCGGCACACGTTCGAGGACGTGGTGGTGGCCGTGGCGGACGCGTGGGGCGACGCGGATGACGCACCGCGCGGCGCGGACAGGCTCAGGTAGCGTCGGAGGAGCGAGGCACCGGGGGTAGCGCGAGTCATCGCGGCAATGGTTGCACAGCCCACCAATCGTGCGCATCGTGCTGTGCTCGGGTCGTGCGTGCCCTCGTTGTGGTGGTGGTGGTGGCAGGTGCTCGTTCTATGCGGTGCTGGATGGGCATGGCGGGCGGCGAGCAGCGGAGTGGGCAGCCAAGCACGTGAACGCCGCTGTCATTGCGGCAGGCCTGCCACGTGAGTCGGTGGGTGCTGCTGCCGTTGCCACTGCCGCAGTCGCCGTGCCTGTTATTAGCTGTGTTGGCCATTGGATGAACCGTTGGCCATTGCTAAGCACACCAGCACTCGCCTTCCCCTGCAGGTAGACATCAAGAAGGCCAAGCGAGCCATCATTGAAGGTGCGTGCTCCCGCCCGCACCCTGCTGCCACGCCACTCCATGCGTACTGTCCATGCTCGCACACATCCACCCACTACCCTCTGCTGCACGCTCACGTGCACAAACCTCAGCCTTCTCTCGCGTTTGTGTCACTCTATCTGACCATCGCAAGTCTGCACTGCACTTACCATCCGTGCCATTGTGCTTGCTCTGGGGCATGTGTGTGCGTGTATTGGTGCGGGCGGTGCTGGTTGAGTGTGGTGGTGGGTGGTGAGTGTGTGTGAGGGGAGTGGGCAGGCATGAAGAGCACGGACGAGCAGCTGCTCAAGGAGAGCCTCGCAGGTGCGCGCCTGTTTCCACTCGTCTCCCCGCTGCCCGAACTGCCCACAGGACAATTTCATGCTTTTCTGTGTTCTCGCTCATACCTCACTCACTGCTCCTCTGCATGTATGGTCATGATATTTTTCTCGCTGCACGGCAGTGTTCATAAAGATAATGCAGCTGTTATTGCAGTTTGAAAAGTGCTTGCTATGCCGGCCTACTTCACACACACGACCTGCTCAAATTATGTTCACATTTCCGTCTGTTGGGTTCCCTGGCTTGCGCTTGTGTGGGAGGTATGCAGGCAACTGGCAGGACGGAGCGACAGCAGTGTGTGTGTGGGTGCTGGGCCAACATGTACGTGCTCATGCTTGCTGCCTGCACCACCACCGTCTCTGCTCCCACAGAGACTTTGTCGGCTACGTTCACCAGTTTGCGTTTCCTCCTGAGAATGGTCCTCCATGTGCTGTGCTCCCTAAGTGCACATGCGTCCCACTGCTCTACGTGCATGCAGTGCAAGGTCAGAGAGGAGAACCAGGGGGGAAGGGGGTGGCATGGCAGGTGGCACGTGGATGAGCTGGGAGGGGTGACTGATGTTGGCAGCGAGGCCTAGTGCCGCCCTGCCGCCTCCACCCATGGGCCTATGAGCCCCGGGCCCCCATTTCCACCTCCAGGTTGGCCTCACGCCAGGTCCTTGTGGGCTTGGGGTGTCAGCAGGCTACTTGCATCCAGGCCCGTCAGGGGTGGTGCCTTTTTTAATGCCGGCCACCCTTGCGTCGAGGCGGGATGGGACCAGAGAAAGTTCCGGCCCTTTGAGTGTTGGAAGAGAGCAGAGCAGTAGCGCTGCCCGTTTGCTCTGCGCAAAAGTGTGTTTGTGTTTGTTCCAGACGCGTTGCAATGTCTGCACTGGCCAGTGTGCTGTCCCCACCAACCAAGGGGGCGGAGGGAAGGGAAGTAGGGGGTCAAGGGATCCCAGTCGGGGTGTGGGGCGGGACAGGGTGTCCAATGATGCTGCTGGGGTAGGGGGCCTCGGGTGCATATGCTGTGCTGCTGAGCTAACGGTTTTTCGACCGTGTAGTTCCGATGCTGCCCAGGGTTTAGGGTTTAGTATGACGGATAGCAAGGCCCGTGGCAGTGCGTACGTGCGGTGTTGCACTCATACGCGTGTACATGCTGGCAACGCTCTGCAAGTAGCCATTGCCAGGCGGTGGCTCGCCAAGGAAGAAGATACCCTAGCCGATAATTAGCAACTGAGGAATTAAGCTTTCTATCTCTCTCTTCTTCCCTCTCCCTCTCCCTCTCCCTCCTCTTTTTTTTCCCTCTCTCCCCCTCCCTTGTTTTCCAGGTGTTTGTTGCCAATCTGGGCGATGCCAAGGCAGTGCTGGCGAGGGAGCCAGATGCAGCTGTACCGCCAGCTGCCACCACGCCCACCACAGCAGCAAGCCGCCCGGCAGGGAGTGGGCCAGGCAGTGGGGCAGGCAGTGAGTGTGCGGCGCTCAAGGCCATCGTGGTGACTCGCGAGCACAAGGCTATCTTCCCAGCCGAGAGGCAGCGTATTGAGAAGGTGGGGGGAATGGAGGGGAATGGAGGCGAACGGAGGTGCAGTGCTTTCTATATTTCTTGTTTCCAATGTACGGCATCCTCCCCTGCCTGCCACTACTAGCTTCTCGTCATGTGTTTTCCACCACACCTGTCATGCCAGCAGCACCATCATTTGCTGTAGGCTGGAGGCTCAGTCATGCTGCAGCCTGCAGGCTGCAGGCTGGCAGCACCACCATTTGCTGCAAGCCTGCCACTACTAGCTTCTCTTGTGCGCCTTGAGCTGCAGGCTGGAGGCTCAGTCATCAATGGTCGCATTCTCGGTCGCTTGGAGGTCTCTCGTGCTTTCGGGGACCGCCAGTTTAAGAAGGTATTGCCAAACGAGCTATTCTTTGAATAGTGTTTGCCTAGGGTTCGAGATGCACAACTTGAAGCATGCAAGTGTTGCACCTCTACCATAAGGTCTGTGGTCTTGATCAAGGGCCAGGAAATCTGTCGTTGATGCCAGACTGCTTCAGCTGTTCATGTTTCTTCAACAAAATAATCGAACAATTATCTTTCTTTATATTTCTGTGTGCATGTGTGCATGCAGGCCGGGGTATCATGCACGCCTGACATCAGTGTCTTTCACCTGTCCCCGCGTGACCGCTTTCTCCTGCTTGCCTGTGACGGCCTCTGGGGGGTGAGTAATTCATTGGGAAAGCATGGGTGTCCCGTACCCTGGTGCTGCCAGCACCATAAGCAGCACTGTGCACAGCATGTCCCACATGTACCTCATCCACTCCCAATGCATCCTTCAGACTCCCAATAGTCACCCATGTGCACCTCACACCGTGCACCCCTTTGCACCTCTCCTGTGTGCAGGTGTTCAGTCCTGCTGATGCTGTCGAGTTCACGCAGGACCTTTTGCAGGTATGAAGTTTACTTGCAGCGCGCCATGCTTGCACTCAACTTGCTCTCCATGTCTCCACCATCCTTTTTGTGGCTTTGGCCCAGCGTTTTCAAAGCACTCTCTCTTGCATCACACCACTTCATGCCTCTTGACAGATGCCATGTTCGTTGTTTGCTTGCTTTCCAGAAAGGGGTGTCGGTGGAATCTGCTGCTCGTAGGGTGGTGAAAGAGGCTGTGTGGGAGCGCAAGTGCAAGGACAACTGCTCCGTGTTGTTGCTGTCATTCCATCACATTTCCTCGTAGACGACTCTGCTGTAATGCAATTGGCTGCTTCCTGGCTACCATCATCCAGGTATGCTTGCTTAGGGTGAGGCAATCCCAAAATGGGCAAATGTCCGTGTAGTGCCAGCCAGGTCTCCTTTGGATCCCCCACTCTGATTTGGTCTTTCAGGGGGTGCTACATTGGGTCCGCAAAGACCTTGGTCCGCAAAGACCTTGGCTAGTCCGAAGGACCTGACCTGAACCTGGTCTGACTTCATTGTCACGGACGGGTGTGAGGGACCAGCATCAACCCTGCAATTTTCGCTGTGAACCGTCAGAATGGACCAGAGTGGACCAGGCCTAGGATCATTTGTGTTATATGGTAACCACAGAATGTGGTACCAGTAGGTTCTAGAGGTGGCTCACAACTGAACCACCCTGGTCTGCATTATACTTTTTGATCCGCAGACAAAAAGACTGCGCCGCACACCCTCACACGTTTAATAGACAAGCCGGACTGGTCTGGGGTGCTCTTATTTTGAACTATCCGGGTGTTTTTGCTTAAATGTGAAGCGGGAAACCTGCCCTGCTGTGAGCACGGGGACGTGGTCGGTACCAGTATGTTTACATGACAAAGCATGGTACATGCGATGATGATCCTAAGGACTGACGGCATGATTGGGATGATACATGTTAATAATCTACATACAATAAATAGTCATACAACAGGTTAGTCTGATGTTCCACAAGTTTACTGAATGTTGACATTCTTGACGGTAATGGTATAAGGGGCATTTGTAGGGTCACTGTAAACTCCAGCCCACGAGCCACCATTGATGAAAGAAGCGTTCCACACACTGGAGTATAAATAGACGTTCATTGACGGGAAACTGCTGCTTGTGGATTTCAAGACGGTGCGCACGAGTTCGCCATCAATGAACCATCTGCAATGAAAACAAGTCAGAAACGTTCTGAATAAACATCACAACAAGATTAGGCGTTTGCTCACTGAATGCTGTCATCCGCGTATGTAACGGCGTAGGTATGAAAGTTTTGGCTGGCGTCGAACCCTAGGTCAATGACCACCTCGTGTCCACCGACTCTGTCACAGAAAACATATCATAAGCGAGAAAAGCCCAGAAATATCAATGGCAGCGGTTCGGTGAAGCAATCTCTTCTTACCCATTGACATAGTAGTTTGTCTGAACCTGCATGTTGTTCTTGCCGAGCCATTCAAAATCAATTTCGTCTTGGGTGGTGCTGCCTTCCAGTGAGGACAAGTAGAAGGATGACACAATGCCGCTCGTTGCACCACTAGGAATCATCACGTCGCCTGAGAATGTTGTTCCCGTCGGATAACGTGATGAAGATCGCACACGAGCAGCTGCACCCGAGTAATGTTAGTGAGCAAGAGTAAGTGATCCAAAAATACGATTTTAAAATGCGTACTTCCTGAGTCATCCTCAAATATGTAAAATCCGCGCCCGTCAGAGTCAATAGACATATGATCCTCGACCCCAGCATCAAAAACCATTGATGGCCCAGAGTTCATAACGCGACTTGTTGGTGTTAGTTTGACATTCTTGTGGCTCGTAATCTTGTGTCGTTTAGCTGAGACCCTGTACAAAATTGTTAGACCAGAAGCAGCCTGAAGCGAAGAAATTAGGAAGCTGAAGAAAGTTACCCAGGATTTGAGAAGGATATATGAAGGCATATTAGAATCGCGATAGTGAGGATGGAGTTACTGAGCTTGAGGGCCATTTTAGATGTGATGGTAACCCTCCTACGACTAGATTAGTACGGAGAGGGAGGTGAAGGTGACAATGGCAAAGTGGAGAAATAAGCAGTATTTGTAGGTATTCAGCCCGGCTTTCGCGCCGCGATGTTACGCAGCACAGGATGGATCGATAAGAATGTGTCTGTATGAAGTGAACACACATATAATCTACAACATAGCCATGTGTTCACAAATTGGGAAAGAAGTAATTAAAGCAAGTTTGCTCAATCAACACTGATATTCCTCCCCAAAAAAAAAAAAACCTACTACGCGTATTTTTTTTGTACACCACACTGTTTAAAAAATGTATTTTTTTCTAAAAAACATTAACAGGCGCTGACTTAAAGCCTTTGAAGCAGGGCTGTTTCTATCAGGGTGATTACCCTGATTTCAGGGTGATTTCAGGCTTTCCACTTTATGGAGACTGAAATTTCAAAATTAATTAATTTTCAACCCTGATCCAATCAGGGTTATGGAACACCAGGGCTCATGGTAGCAAGGGTGCACATCCGGAGTTTCGTCTACATGTTTTCACCAGAGATCCGGAATTTGAGAGCACCAAAATCAAAATCATCCGGACACGTAAAGGACATTTTTCAGAGACATCCAGATGCTTAAAACCGGAGGGCCAAGAAGGCCCAAATTGCGTCAACCTTCCTAACCTTGGTTAATTTTGGCCCTCACACCCAAAATCTTGGCCAATTGCTTCCTAAGGTTGAAGTTCTTGGCCCGAGGGTTTTAAGGGTAGTCCTTAAAAACTATCGTGCCGGAATCGAATGGTCGCATCCCTGCGTGAGACAGATCTGCGCTCGGAACAGCTGTAGTACAACTATACTTATGTTTTCTGCACTCACAGTTAGTCTAGTGGTTGCCTGTTAGACAGTTCAGTTATTTCAGGAACATGAATAAATGGAAGGGCTCTTCTCAAGTCCTCCTCCATGTGTGTCTTAACTTGTATTCTTCAGCAGTAACGACTCAATGGGCCGAAGGGTGTTTCTTAGAGACACACTGGGTCAGGGCTAATTTTTCGTTTTTAGATACACACACACACACACACGCACGTACGCACGTACGCACCCACACCAATACACTCACACACACACACACACACATACACACACACACACACACACACACACACACACACACACACACACACACACACACACACACACACACACACACACACACACACACACACACACACACACACACACACACACACACACACACACACACACACACACACACACACACACACACACACACACACACACACACACACACACACACACACACACACACACACACACACACACACACACACACACACACACACACACACACACACACACACACACACACACACACACACACACACACACACACACACACACACACACACACACACACACACACACACACACACACACACACACACACACACACACACACACACACACACACACACACACACACACACACACACACACACACACACACACACACACACACACACACACACACACACACACACACACACACACACACACACACACACACACACACACACACACACACACACACACACACACACACACACACACACACACACACACACACACACACACACACACACACACACACACACACACACACACACACACACACACACACACACACACACACACACACACACACACACACACACACACACACACACACACACACACACACACACAACACACACACACACACACACACACACACACACACACACACACACACACACACACACACACACACACACACACACACACACACACACACACACACACACACACACACACACACACACACACACACACACACACACACACACACACACACACACACACACACACACACACACACACACACACACACACACACACACACACATGAGAAGAAACGAGAATGAATGAACTATGAATGAACTGGGTACAAGTACTAACCCTAACTGGGTTGTACCCCCTATGGGATACCCCACTATAGCCTATACAAAATCATAAGCTATATATGTTCTGACACACCCCCATAGGCAAAGTGGGGGAGAACAAGGGGTCACAAGACCAGTCAAGCAAAGGAAAGCAAAGCAAGCTCAGGGTGGATCACAAAGTCACCACACATTCCGAGCACAAGTTCAAGGCCACAAGGCCAGTTCACATGCAGGAGTACATATATATATATATATATATATATATGTATATATAAGGCTAGACAAGCAAGAACAGGTAGATATATATGTAACAGTACAAGCAAGGTCAAGAGGTGAGCAAGTGAGGCAAGACAAGGACAAGACCCAGCTGAGTGCAGAAGTGCTGATGATCACAAGGCGCAAGTGCCTTGCTGAAAACATCAGCAGTGTTGGCCTCAGAGGCCACGTACGCAAGCCGCAACTGTCCACGCTGCTGTAGCTCAGGAGCAAGGAAGTAGCGGAGAGCAATATGGTTCGTTCTGTGCTCCAGTCGCTGCTCTCGACACAAGGCTAGCATGGCCTTGTTGTCTACGTACAGAATTGGAGGAGAACGAGGCGGCTCTCCAAGGTCGGTCAGCAGGTAGGTGAGCCAGCGAAGCTCCTGTGCAACCATGGCCCCAGCGTAGATCTTGAGGAAAACTGAACGAGAATGAATGACTATGAAATGAAGTGGGTACAAATATGAAACCCTAATTGGGTTGTACCCCCTATGGGATACCCCACTATAGCCTACAGAAATGAGTAAGCTACAATGTTCTGACACACCCCCATAGGCAAAGTGGGGGAAAACAAGGGGTCACAAGACCAGTCAAGCAAAGCAAAGCAAAGCTCAGGGTGGATCACAAAGTCACCACACATTCCGAGCACAAGTTCAAGGGCCACAAGGCCAGTTCACATGCAAGAGCATATATAAAGATATACAATAGTCAAGCGAGCAAGAGCAAGAGTATATATAGCAGAAGGTATAAGCAAAGTCAAGAAGTGAGCAAGTGAGGCAGGACAGGCACAAGACCCAGCTGCGTGCAACAACGCTGATGATCACAAGGCGCAAGTGCCTTGGTGAAGACATCAGCAGTGTTGGCCTCAGAGGCCACGTACGCAAGTCGCAACGGTCCACACTGCTGTAGCTCACGAGCAAGAAAGTAGCGGAGAGCAATGTGCTTTGTCCTGTGCTCCAGCCGGTGCTCTCGACACAAGGCCAGCATGGCCTTGTTGTCTACGTACAGGACTGGAGGAGAACGAGGCTGCTCTCCAAGGTCGGTCAGCAGGTAGGTGAGCCAGCGTAACTCCTGTGCAGCCATAACCCCAGCGTAGATCTCAGCCTCACAACTGGAGCCGAGAACAGAAGACGAGCGGGTAGCCCGCCACAAAACAGAGCCGGAACCAAGGCTGAAGGTGTAACCCTGTGACGACCGCTGCGTAGCCTGGTCGTCAGCCCAAGAAGCGTCTGCGTGCCCAGTGAGGACCACTGGACTGCGCCCTCCAAGCACTAGCCCCATGCCCGACGTACTGCACAAGTAGCGCAACACCCTCTTTGCTGCAGCCATGTGCTCTGGTCGGTGTCTCCCAGGAGCAACATAGCGAGCGAGAATGCTAAGAGGGTATGCAAGGTCAGGTCGTGTGCAGGTCATCAGGTACATGAGGCAGCCAACAAGCTCTGCATACGGGCCACTCGACTCTACGGACTCATCCGAAGGCAGAGCTGAGAGCGAGTGGCGAGTAGGCAGAGGAGTGGCCTGAGGCGAGGAGTACGTGAAGCCGAAGCGCTGAAGGACCTGCTGCACCATGTGTGACTGAGTCAGGGTAATGGTGCGGCGTGCTCTGTCCCGGGTGATCTGCAAGCCAAGGTAGCTGCGCAGTTCACCCAGGTCAGTGCATGTGTGTCTCTTCTGCAGCTCGGACTTCACGTAGGCGAGTCCAGCAGTGTCAGCTTTGGCAAAGACCAAGTCGTCGACGTACACGAGGATGTAGAACGGCGGCAGAGAGGTGTCGGTGCGCAGAAACAGCGACGGGTCTGCAGTAGAAGGAGCAAACCCAAGTGCCGCCAGCGTAGTCCTCAGTGTGTCGTGCCACTCACGTGGCGCCTGGCGGAGACCGTAGACTGGACGCCGGAGACTCCACTGGGTACCAGGAGGGAAAGACCCAGTGAAGCCAGGTGGGCGCCGCAGCCAGATCTCCTCGTGCAGGCTGCCCTGCAAGAAGGCGGTGCTGAAGTCGAGAGAGTGCAGCTCGTAGTCACGGTGAGCAGCACGTGCAGCAGAACCCGAAGAGTGGTCATCTTCGGGGTGGGGGAGAAGGTCTGAAAGTAGTCAACCCCCTGCCGCTGACTGAAGCCACGAGCCACGTAACGCGCCTTGAAGACAGGCGGAGAACCCGGCGGCCGCTTCACCCTGAAAATCCACATGCCACTGACGATGTTCGCCCCAGGAGGGGGAACAGCGTCGACGTAGGTGCCTGTGGACTTCCAGGAAGCCATCTCTGCATCCATAGCTGCCTGCCACTGAGAGGAGTAGGGACCCTCTATCGCCTCC